TCACGGGTGACAGGGTGGCATTACCTTCACGTACGACGAGCTCAGCTTTGCACAAAACCTCCCCTCCTGCATTTTTGGCAACACAGGTATAAACATCACCATCTTCCAAGGCAGCATTGTCCACCACCAAGAAATACGTTGTTCCTTCCTTCCCCTGATGGATCCTGTCACTGTCTGTCAGCAGTGAAGTGCCCTGAGGGAAGGAAGTGACATTTTGGCACTGGACAAGCCAAGATGGAAACAGATGTTTCCTCTCTTCAAGAAGAAAGATCCAGGAGCAGAGCTACAACACAGACTGTTGATGTGAGCAAACCTCATGGAGAAAATGCTGCCCAGGGGAGTGGTGGTGTCACCATCCCTGGAAGTGTTCAAGAAACAACTGGATGTGGCTCTGGTTGACAAGGTGGTGTTCTGTCAGAGGCTGGACTCAGTGATCTTGGAGGTCCTTCCAACCTTAATGGTTCTGTGATTCTGTATATTCATAAATCACAGAATATTCTGTACATTCATAAATGCTATGAAGAAAGAAGCAGGGTGGAGTGTGTGTTACACAGAGCAGGTTGTGAGTATTTGCAAAAGGTACCTATGGCAGTAAAATGCAAGATAAAAATCTATACTATATCTAAATATATATATATATAAATTTTAAAATATATAATATATATAAAATATACAATAGGTACATACATGTACACAAATATGAAATGATGGAATCCTGTTTACTCACATAAAATCTCTGTTTCTGAGCTTTTCCTTTTTTAAACTGCAACAAAAATTTGAGTAAATCAGCTCAGTGCTTGGTGGGAGCTAAAAGGCACCAGATACTAGAAATTATTAGTGAAGAAATAAAGGATAAGACACAAAGCATCATTTGATAAATGCTTGGTTTGCCTATGGTGTGGTACTATTTGGTACATCATCAGCAATGTCCTCTAAGAGCTTCTATATGAGGATTGACAGCAGATTGGAATTCATTCAATTCATTCATTCAATTCCAGATTCCTTCAGCCTGGAAGGGAGGCTCTAGCCAGATATGACAACAATATTCTAAGGAATAATAAATGATTCCTCTCCTTTCTATGGGATGTTCACTGTCCTTGGTCACACTGATTTTACTAAGTAGTTGCAGGAAAGATACAGAGCCTGGCAATCAAACGGATAATTGGGATAAACCACTCAATCCCATTCCTGCCCCCAAACTGCAGCACACATCTCAGTGGCACTCAGGTAGAAACAATTTCTCTTCCTGCTCTTTTTGGTCCCCAAAACCATCTTGGTGGCTCTCTCTGCAGAAGGATCCAGGGTGACACGGTGACAACACGGGGTGGGATGCACAGCTGGTGGTTCAGTGAGAACAGCTGGTTCCACAAACTCTACAGACACAGAGTCAGTGGGAGAGGTGTGGGAGGAAAGAGCAGACAAAATTCCCTGTGGAATAGTGCACTGCAGTCCCTCTCCTGGTCCTCACTCTCAGAAAAGAGTCTGCACTCACCTTAAACCACAGAACTGTGGGCTGAGGGGTTCCTTCAATGACTGCCTGGAATTTGGCACGTTCCCCAGAGTTCACCTGCACATCCTCTATTGTCACTTGCATGTAGGGAGGACCTGGTGGGAAAAGAGCCTTTGCTGCATGCACAGCACTGGAACCTCTTCCCCAGCGTGCTGACAGAGGTGCAGTTACTCACTGGGATTTATAGGACAGGCCACTTAGGATGTAATAGCATTTTAAAGTAAAATCAAGAGGTAAAACAGCAATATATCTGAGGCTCTTCATGCTGGCATTACTTTCAGCCTTCTTATCCTCACACTTAACCTATTATTTTTGTTTCATAAACAGTAACCACTCAAAAAAATTGGAATATTAAAAATAAAACCAGTCGGGAGTGGTTACCAAAAGAGAAGACAGTGACAATCATAGGACTGGGAAAGGAAAACAGGGTTTCTTACTTGTTGGAGTCTTCTCCTCAGTCTTGTACACACGAGTTCTTTCTGTGGTCTCGATGTAAACTTCACTGTGCACATCCCAGACCACGTCTCCTTCTCTCCTGTACCAGCCTCCTGCCCCTGCATCTGGTGATGTTCTTTCAAGAAACCCAAGAGAAAAGATCATGGCATAGCCACATGCAAGAGGTGCAGGATTACACCCTGCCATTGATCTGTTTAACCAGCAGACAAAGAGTTATTCACTTAAAAGTAATACAGGAAGAATTTTGGTTTGGGGGGGGGATTAATTTATCTCCAAACGTTTTTTACACTTCTTTGACAAAGCATTGTCACCAGGTGTTGGAACCCAGAAGCCTGGGAGTTTTTAACTTTCTGTGCTTTCTGGCACTGAACCCCTGGGGAACACTGCTTTTGACCTGAGGCTTTGGAGAAGGCTTCCAAAATTTGAGTGATGGAGTTAAAATCACTGGTGTGTAGTTAGAATAGAAGTGTGTGATTTCACATGGTGAAGGGTTTGGAATTTGGGGTTTTTATAATACAGTAATAGGTATGGGACAAGATGGAGGTTCTTGGGAGTTGTCTCTTTTGGTGTTCTTCCTTCTTCTTCATGATTTCAGGCAGTAGTTTCTGGTTGGACAGTGCCGCACTGAGGGTCACAGGTATTTGATTATTGGGTCAAAAGTATAAATAATATAGGTGTTAATTCTCTATTGGACTGTTTAGCTTTAAAAGACCTTGTAACTAACTACATTCATCTCCATTTTGCTCACTTTTTGCTGGTACCTAGAAATGTTGCAGAATTCTCTGTACTTTAGATAAGATTTAATAAACAACCAAGCTGGAACATGAGAATTTTGTCTCCTTCGTGTTTTAATCCTGACTCTGAGTGGAGACAGAAGAAAATTAAGACAAGCCACTAATTATGTGGTGCAGTTAACCCATTACAACCAGGATTCTGAAAATAACGACAAATCTACAAGAAAATGTTTGGGTGCACCACAGAGGACTTGCTTTTCTTGCACCAAAATCTGCTCCACTCAGAAATCCACGTGTGTGACCTGGACATGTGGAAGTGGGTGTTTACCTGTCGATGGGAACTGTGCGTTCCCGAGTGCTTTCACCTCCAGCAGCCTCCTCTTCCCTGGAAGGAGCAGGGCTTGGCTTTGGCACCCCTGGTTCATCTGGAACCTGCCTCTGTGCTGTGGCTGCCAGCAGAAATCAGGCAAGTTAGACATGTCACCCGTGAGACCACACCTGAAAGCCAGAGACAGCCTTTGGAGCCATCTCTGGTGTGCCTGGTGCCACAACTGAGTCCACCTGGCCTCAGCTGGGTGCAGCCACTGAAGGTTAGAGGAGAATTTGGCACTTTTGCAAAGAGCACACGAAGCAAAGGGGTTGGACAACACCAGAGTGGTGGCACTTGGCTGACTGGGCTCACCTGAGTGTTCTGTCAGGAAACACACACAGACAAAGGTGGGAAAGGCAGTAGGGACAGGGAGAAATAGATCTGGAAGGACTGTGTGGGTTCACACAGGAGATAATTCAACTGTGTTTGAGTTCCAGCTCATGGCTGTGAGGAAGTCATGGAATCACAGAATCATCCAGGTTGAAAAAGACCTTTAAAAACAAGTCCAGCACTGCCAAGACCACCACTGAAATGCATTCCAGGGAAAGCCAGTGTTAGCTTTGCCCACATGAATTCTTCCATGCAGCAGTTCCTGCCTCACTGCTGTGATCACAGACAGCATCAGGGACGTGAGTGAGCTCACATCGATGTGAATTGGTGGTCAAAGCAGGTCCTGGCTGAGGATATGATTGATGGGGAGGTAATATGGACTCTTACAGAGGACCTGGTGGTATTTTAGCATCAGCATTGCTGCACCTCCACTGGAAAATGTCCTTGTACAGCTCTAAGTTACACCAGAACAAGGTTTGACATCTGGGACTTGATGAAACCAAAAGATGGTGCAGCTTGATGGCCGTTTCAGTTATTTTTCTTCTTTTATTATTAATTATTTTATCAGATATAGCTTCAAAATCTGGTTTGATCCCACATTCCAAAAGTACCTGATTGTCTTTTGATATTGACCATTGGAATTGCACCATGGGATAAAGTTCATCACCTCCTTTTTCATTTAAGGAGAAAAGGTTAAATCCAGAGGAGTCTTCTACCTCTGGTAGGAATATTTTAGGGAGGAATGGGTAGGAATATTTTAGGGAGTGCTCTAGGGATGTTTGGTGCTGTCTGGTTTTGGAAAAGAGCAGCTGTTTCTAGAAGTCACATAAAACAGCTCCATTGAGGTGGAAAATATGGTTATTCAAGGCATTACTGGATCAGAGATCCCAGGTTGTGGGATTGTATTTTCCTCTCACCAGCACTATTGAAATATTTACCTCCTTTTTATTTAAGGCATATGATCATAGAGAGAGGTGTCAAGTCTCCATCTGATTCAGATAATTCCCATAACATGTTTAGTTTTCAGATGAAAGACTGCCAAACTATCTCACTCATTATTGTATTTTCTCTTTAGCTGTGACTGAAGAAATAATCTGCTAGGTGACATTTTACTTCGGATTTTTGAGTCCCACTCCACCAGAGGATTATTTCCAAAGGTGATTTTCGACTAGAAAGGAAAAAAGGTTTTAAAGCCCTGACATTTTTTTATGCTGTTATTTTGGGTCTGATTCCATGAAAAGCTTTTATTCTTGTTAAGTTTTAAGTAAGAATATTTCTTTTTTAAGGTATTATCTGGAGTTTGAGGGCTGAAGGCTGCTTAGCATTGTCCTTTAAGTTAACAGTGGTGGAGAACAGTTATTCTGACTTGACACAGATTAGACAAGTTGTTATGGCAGAATCAGAGGAAGAGTGGAAGGGTTGTCATTCATTCATGATTTTTTAAAAACAAGAGAAAGACAAAGGAATTTTTCTCCTGGCAAGACACAGCCACACACACAGATGGTTTTAGTCACACAGAAGCTGCAAGGAGTCTGTCCAGGCTCCAGGGTCAGTGAAATGCAGGTGAATATGAGGCACCCACCCCCCTGGATAGTCTCTGACAGTTGGTCCAAATTAAAGACATTTCCAGCTTGTTTACAGCAAATAATAAAATAAAAACAACCACCCTTACCCATCCCACCAAATCAAAACCCAAATGACTTCTCTGAATGTAAAGGAAGGATCTCACCCCACCTTGTCCCCCAAAAGTACTTGAAGCAAGACCAGGGGAAAAGCTCAATGGTGGAAAAAAATCCGCTATTCCTTAATTTTGGGCAGGTGATGAACCCAACTCTATCTCAGACATGGTTTTCAAACACCTCCTGCTTCCAGAAAGATCTGCCCCAAACTTAGATCCCACCTAACCCCAACCCACCCTCCAATGTTTCTTTGGGTCTGAACACCCTCTCATCATCTTCATCTGCCCAAAACACAGTGACACAGCAAAACGAGGTTAAAAACATCATTACTGGCACGTTCAATATTATTCTGTCTCTCAACTCCCAGGGGACACCTCCCACCTTTATGCCAAACCTACCATGGCCTTCAGCAGCCTGGGTTTGGGTACCAGCTTCATGGACTACCACAGAGGGCCCGGCTGCTGGCCCTGAGAGCTGGCAAGGAGCAGCCCCAGCAGGGCCAAGGCCAAGGCCACCATCTGCTCTCATGCCTGGGGGAAGAGTCACCAGCAGGGACGCCGAGTGCATCAGTTTTTTCAGGGCTGTCTTGATCTCCTGATCTGCGCGCTGGAGCGAAGCCTGCACAGAAGTCTCCGTCTCTGGCTGGGGGGAAGTCATTCCTACAGACAAGAACAACAACTTTTCTCTCTTCAGGGCAAAAAAAAAAAAAACCCAGTAGTACCATCCAACCCATGGAAATACCTGCAACCGTATCATTTTTCCCTCCTAGAGAAGAGAGTTGATGAAGAAATGCTTAGTCCAGCAAGAGGGAATGTAGCTGAGAGTTAAAATAAGAAGGTTGGCACAAAATGCCTTGGAAAGTTGTATCTCAGCAGGCTGGGGACACTGAGCCACCTGTGTGAACATCTGGTCTGTTCCCAGACAGTGGAACAAAGGATCCATCTCCCAGCTCAACCTGACATCGATTGGTCTGTCAAAAATTACTTTAATAATCATAGAATCACAGAATGTCCTCAATGGGAAGGGATCCACCAGGATCATCCAGTCCAGCTCCTGGCCCTGCACAGTCACCCCAACAATCCCACCCTAGGAGTGTTTTCCAACTCTCCTGGAGCTCTGTCAGCCTTGGGGCTGTGCCCATTCCTTGGGGAGCCTGGGCAGTGCCCAGCACCCTCTGGGGGAAGAACCAACCACTGGCTAAAACCAAGGAAATGAACTCATTGCACTGGTACAGACCCCATGTGCAAGGAAGACATTATCTCACAGGGGAGGAAAAGGAGTGAACAGGAACCAGCCTCATCAGTGACTCTGGAGAAGGGCAGGGAATGAAGGGAGGGCTGTTCTTTTTTATCCAAGTCTGGCAGAAAAGCCACTCCTTGCTCTAGGGTGATGTGGTTGTCCTACTTCACAATGTCTGAATATTTCTGATGGGTTTGGGTGTAGAAGGCTGGGATGGGATCACAGACTGCAGGAGCTCATCTCACCCAATCTCCTGCCCAATAAACCTTCCACAAATCCTGAAGAGGCACAACTAAGGGATGGATTGTACCCAGGGAAGCCCCCAAGTAATCATGAAGACAGAGAAAATGCAGATCAGGTGAGGACCAAGAAAATGCAGATCAGGTTCAGACAATGATTACATTCATGATGCAATTGCTCACCAAGCAAGAGAGAAAAGTCAAATCATCACATGGTTTGAGAGAAAAATAAGAGCATTTGGAATAAACATCTCTGACTTGTTTAATATCACTGACATTAATGAGCATGTCCTGTAGGGGTTTTGATTCTGCTCCTCTCCTGGCCTCAAGGAAGTCAATTCCCATGATAGACCTGAGAAAATAAAGTTGAAGGCTCTGTGTGGATGAGGACCTATCATTTGTCTTTTTGTTTTCAATGATCACAATGGTGACAAAATATTTCTTTCCTGAATCTGTTGATGGAAAAAAGCAAGATTTGCTCGCATGATGTCCCAGACTGCCCATCAGTGCTCATCAGCACTGGGCTGGCTGGAAGATATTAAGTATTTTCCTAGAGAAATACCTGGATTCTCTGGTGCTCCTGCTGTGATTTCTGCCAACTGGTGCTGTCCTGTGAACTGGGCAGCTGCCAACGAGTGAAATTATTGCAAAAGCATGAAACACTCAATTAGGAAATAGATAGGTGTATAGATATAGATGTTATATATAATCACTGGTCTCCCCCATGCTCTAATACCACCCCTTCCTTCTTTTGGACACTGATTCAGGCTGAGCAACTTTAATGTCCCCGAAGACCCACAGAACTAACAAACACCACAGTGATGACACCCTGTGATGGACAACCTCTTTCCCAGCTCTAAAATCTCAGCCTTGAGTCTTCCCACCTCACAACTTCAGCCCATCCCCAGGAACTCAAGGCTGACACATATTTTGAAGCTCCAGTTCAGTCTCAGAGAAGAACCCCAGAGGATGTGAATCATTCAAGATTCCTGAGTTGGAAATATCCCTAAAACCAGGTTATTTTCACTTCAACACTCCTGAAACTGTCCATAAAAAAGGAGCCAGAGCTCAACTGCATTAATATTCTGGGATTGCAACCCAGCTCGTGCTGAAGTCAGCAGAAGAGGATGAGCTGATGGAATATCAAGTGCTGTAACAAAGAACACAGAAACCCAACGAGTTCAGTGACAGCTGACGCAAGACATTTATTGATTTAAACTCAGCATCTAACAGCATATCTTGCATTTGACTTTTTTTGTGTGGTTTTTTTTTTCTTTTTTGTATCTCAAGCAAACTGAAGTTTCCACTTTATTAATACCCATTTACCTCCAGGAATTTCGGTAAAACATTCATTGTATTAAAATCTTTCATACAGCTGTATCTTTTCATCTACAGGAAATAAATCCCCACACATCTCATTAGTTATCTACACAGTTTAATCACTTACAAGCATAATTTTTAACCTCTAGGAAAATATTTTGAAAGTATATGTAATGAACTTCTCATAAACCTTTCACTTTTTGAACAGAGCCCTGCATAGGATTTTAAAAGTTCCCTTCAATTGATTCTCTTTTGCTTAAATTTCAGAAGAAAATGTAAACAGATGTTAATTGCTTTGAGCTAATGAATCAAAGTATAATTATTTATTCTATGACTATCTGAAGTGCAGCCTTAGAGCTTCTTTAGAAAAACCTGAGTGTTGACCACAACAGGAGGAAACCTCCACATTCCTTTACAGATCCTTATTATCTTTTGTTTGAATATTACATTTTTTTGAAGACTATCACAGGGCAAATTCTTTTCTCAGCAGTATCTTTGTAAATCTGAATCAAATCCACTTCCTTCTGTGGAATTATTCTAGATTGATACTGGAATAACTGTGATCAGACTCAGGCTCAAAATAAAAGAAGTATTTTTAGCTTTGAAAGCATTTCCCTGTTGTGTGTCTGTTACTTTCCAATGTACAGTGCAATATATGAAAAAAGCACTAATATATATATCCATCGTATTGCTTCATTATAAAACAAACAGTATAAACCAAGGAGATGTTATAAAAAATGGGATAGTACCATAAAGGAAACTTGATATCCTTCACCACTGGAAAAGCATCCTATATCATGAAGGTAGTGCACACAACATCCTGGGTGGATGTTGAAAGTGAAAGGCTGTGAAATCGACTTGTTAATTTTAGTCAGCACAAGGTGCAGCTGCAGAAGGAAAAAGAAATAACTTTTCTACAAGCACCTTTTGTGAATTCAGTCCCTGTTGGCAGGAACATTGCCCCAAACCTCCAGAACAAGCTCCTCAACATCACCTGGCTGGGAAACACTGAGCCAACATCATCCATTCGTTCCCAAGGCAGAAACTCACTCCACCCTCTCTCCTCACTCGAAATTCAGCTGTGCCTGAGCATTTCTGGTTTCCCTAAACCATAAATGAAAACAGTTTCTACAGAACATTTCTACAGAGCTCAGCTGGGACAGGCTGGGGGGTGTTTTCACCCCACATCTCTGTCACTAGAGAGGACCAGTGCAGGGTCCTGCTGAGATCAGTGAACTCCATCTGACTCCAGCTGGCACCAAGATTTGGGCCTGGGAGCTCATCTCTCATCTCAGCTTGTTGGAGGTCTAGGAAACATCCATTTTTGGTGAAGCCAGCAGGGATGGGCTGTGCTCAGTGCACCTCAGCCTCCTCCTCACGCAGCATTCCCACTGCAAAGCTCCAGAGGAACTCCACAGCCAGTCCCTCTCCGAGGCACCTCGACCTTCCTGGTTACAGTAATATGATGCAATTGCAACTGGCAGCCCAATACATTTGGAACAGATCTATGTTTCAACTAAATATGTATGGTAAAGCTATTTTTGCTCTTTTTTTTTTTTTTTTTTTTTTTTTTTTAAATCTTTGTGCTCCTGCTACTTTGCTGTAGCTCAGTGGTAAATTCCTCTTATTACATATAAGGGACATCATGGATCAATCTGTTAGCAGGAATGTTTCACCACTGGCACATTCAGGAGAACAAATACCCATCCAGTCATATTTATTGGCAAAGACCACATTTGTGGTTCTTTGTACTTGTTAATGTTTGATTGCAGATGCAGAAATTATTTTGTGCAGCACTTTAATCTTTCAGTGCGTGTTAAATAAATTATAGTTCAAAAGATATGGTTTATAAATCCACCACACTAGAATGCAGAATAATGGAAGCTACATCATCAGACAACTAGGAAGTGGATTTGAAAATACCAGTCATTTAGAAAAGATAGTCCTTTTCACTTAAGGCAGAAGAGAACAACAAAACTCTTGCTTCCTCACGACAGTGGCACTCTAACCACTGACTAGAGTCAAACTGGGATTTTAACCAAAAGGCCTGAGCAGCCCTTTGAATCCCTGGTATATGTAACATTTACTATAGATCTCATTATATGGCAGAAGGCTAAAATAATGCAACCAGACTGTGTGTGTTGAAAGGTTTATGAAGAAATTTTGGTAGAGCTAATTGGTGTCACAAGTGTAGAGCAGAGTCAAAGCAGAATGAAGCTTCATGACCTTTGGGCCCAGGAGATACCCCCCTGTCCTGGGCTACTGAAGGATGCTGAAAAGCTTAGATACTTTCACCTCCTTGCCACACCATAAACTGGCACATGAAACAATTATTAAGTTCATGGACAAAAAACACACTTCTTCATCTCTATTTCTGTCATAGGTAGAAGAATCAGGCTTTTCCTAAACCTCCCATCACTGCTCCACTATGGAATGATACATGTTCACCTAGATCAAAGCTTTTAAAGTTACAAACTGTTCTGACAGACTGTTCCCTTTAAGACTGGAAAAGCTTGACACATCATATTTAAATACATTTCCCTCTAAGGTATTCCCTCGCAATCTTTGCCGCCAACTCCCCTCGCCTACAACAATTTTGATTATTATTATTATTTTTAATATAAAGTTGCTTTCTTTGGTGTTAAAAATCCCGCTTGAGTCTGCTCAGCTCTGGGAGAGGTCTTCTGTGCTGATGTGCAAGGTGACAGGCTCGCCCACAGTCCCGTAGCTGAGGGTTCTGGTGGAAACTTCAGTTTTGAAGCTGGACTGGCCGCTGTCGGCCGAGCGCTGCAGCTCGGTGCAGAACGAGGGCTTCAGGGTGAAGGAAGGGCCGGCAGGAGCCGCGCGGGGATCGCCCACGCGGAACGAGATGCTGGAGGGGCCCACGGACGGCGCGGAGCTCAGGCGGGAGGCTGACACGAACACAGCCCCGGGGACGTGCTCCTGGAGCTGGCTGAAGAACCTCTGCCTGGGCTGGGGCACCACGGGCCGCAGCAGGTTCAGCAGCACCGGCTTGCCGATGGTCGGCTCGTTGATCTCCGTCTGCAGCACCGAGATCTCGCAGGGCTTCTCCGCCGTCTGCTTCTGATCCTCGCACCTGTAGGTCTCTCCTTCCTGGGGGATGTAATCCTCCAGGTCCTCCAGGGTTAAGAGTTTGCCGTTGTGGGTTAAAATCTTGCGGTCCCGCGTGCTGATGTCATCTGCGTGCAGCTCCTCTGGCTCATCCACGATGACGTTGTCCTCCTCGGGAAGGATGTCCTGTATTACTTCGGGTACCTCCTCTCCAACAGGCCAGGACACATCCACTTCATCAACCCCTTCCTTTTCCTCTGGACTCGCCGGGGAGAACAGAACTTGGTGTTGCTCTCCAGCTGCTGTCCCAAAACTGAAGACCAGAGGCTCACCCCCGCAGGCAAGCAGAGGGGAGGCAGAGTCTGACCCACAGTCAGCACGTGGCTCCTGCGGGCAGCTCTTCCCTTCAGTTCCATAATCCATAAATGAATCACTTCCTAATTGTTCTAACCCACACGGCGAGTTTCTCTCTTCGCTGCTGACCTGAGGTCCTTCCTGCTCGGTCGTATACACCAGGGGTTGGATGTCACCTTCAGAGAGACCCTCATTTGGCAGAGATTTTGGCTGTTCCACCAATTTATTGTTGGAGTTGTTCGTATTTGGATCATCTTCTGGAGAGCGCTTGGGCCTTGAGCTGGGAAAAGTGAACGTTAACACCCCTGAGTCATCTTTTTCTTGTTTTGCTGGGGAAGAACCTCTTTTCCTTGTGGGCTTTGGTGATTTTTTCACCTTGAATTCAATTATTTCTTCCACTTCGACCCACTTGGGCTTCTTCTCTTCCACTGTGCTCTCCACAACGACGTCTCTCGCCGCTGCCCCTTGCATGTCCTCGTGTTCTGTGACATAAAGCCTGGGCACAGCACCAGACTTTGGTGCTGCCTCCTGGTCGTGTCTGTGGACAGGCTGCCTGATCTTGGAGACGTAAACCGGCTCCGGAGCCAGCTCCACCCGTGGGGAGCGGGAGGGAGAATGACCTGAAGGAGAACGTGCAGGAGAAACCCTTCCCCTTTGCCTTGGGCTCTTCACCACCGTGGTTATGGTCTCCTCTCTGACGGCAGAAAGGGGTGGAGTTGGAGGGAAGACGAGACTTTTTGGGGAGCCACACTCCAGCAGCGCATGCCGCGGTGGGCAGCTCGGGGTTAGTTTGGGTGAGCATTCCAGCTTTGGGGTCATTTTGGGAGGGACACACACGCAGTGCACACACCCACATGCCCATCTCCACTTCCTGATCCAGGGAAAACCCCAGAGCCCTTTTCCCCAGGGAAAACCCCAGCTCCATGAGCCTGCTGGGGTGTGAACACATGGCCAGCTGAGAGATGCTCTGCTGGCTGCTGCTGTGTTTCCTGTGCTTGTGTTCATCACTTACTGTGCTACTTTGGACCCCTCCAAATTTGAAACACTCGAAGATTTTAACCTTTTCCTGAATATTCTTGGCTAAAATCCTAATTCCATGCACCTCAATGGCTAAATGCTCTTTATTGCAGTATAATGCACTATAAAATAAAAGGGCTAAATGCCCTTTATCACAGTATAATGCACTATAAAATAAAAGGGCTAAATGCCCTTTATTGCAGGGTCAGCATCTTCTTAATAATATTTAATTAATCTAACATAACTTTCCCTTTTTTATTATTACAACCTCTTTTGAGACCAGAGATCTGCATTTCCACATGCAGAACAGTTACACTGAAAGGGGATTAACCCTTAAAATGTGGAGATGACCAGGAAAAGAAAGTTAGAACATCTCCTGCACAAATCATCTATGCCAAAAGGAATTTGTTTTTACTCTTCATAATACCATTAGCACAGACACAGACTGATCCTACTGGGTGTGACAGACACAGGAATACCAAGCCAAACTGGGATGCATAATTATGATTTCTCAGTATATTTCTGCTGGCTTTACTTTAGATTTTTTGACTGAAGTTGGGCTGGTGGTAGGTGCCTCATCCCTGGAAACATTCAGGGTCAGGCTGGATGAGGCTCTGAGTAGCCTGATCGAGCTGAAATTGTCCCTGCTCACAGCAAGGGGTGGGACTAGATTATCTTTAAAGGTCTCTTCTGACCCAAGGTCTAAATCCAGACTTCAGTGCTATTCATTTATATACTTGGCATGCAGTTTTTCCTGCAGGTTTTTCTGTGGTGTTTCTCACATGGAAAAACTTTCAGGTAAATACATTTCTGACAGTGTTTTCCTGGCAAGCACAAGGAAGCCAATGCTCCACATCTGCTCCAGTGGAAATCACAGGAAAAGTTCATTTTGTTTCTGTGTTGAGTTCCTGCCCCTACTTCCAAGGAATGGGATTAAAAACAAAGAATTAACTGAAGGCTCAAACAGTGGCCTGAATGGAGATTTAGAATGCAGGCAGCAGCTTTTTAATTCCTCTCTTCTTCCTCACCATTCTCCAGTCACAGCCACGTGGGGCTGAAGGTTACCCCTCTGCTCTTCAGACATCTCTGCTCTGACTTTTGCCCTTGAGAATGGAGAACTTATTTATGGCCATCCTGGAAGACTAACCCTTTTGGGTTTATTGCAGCCTTTCTCATCTTCTGCTCTTATTTTTGAAAACTTGTATTTGTTTCCACCATCAATTTCCCCCTTTGAGGACATGGTGGAGTCCAGGACTGGGCCAGCTACATGAGATTTATTTCCTTGTGGAGCACCCTCTCTTCTCACTGCTTTACCCTTTTCCCTAAGTTTTCTGCAGTTTTTCTATAAACCTTCAAGGTCTGTGCAGAGCCTTCCTACTGGCCAGGGTGCCTTTCTGAATTACACAACATTAAATAATTTTAGATGAGAATGAATCTTTGGTGCTTGCAGTAGACTTTGATTTATGTTGCAAAGTTAAAATGGGGTTTTTTTGGGGGGGGTCTGGGATTTGTATGTATGGACATTGTTCAATCCCATCTCTCAATTATCTATTATTTTCTGCCAGTAGTTTTAAAGCTGGTTCTGTTCATCAGCTTGCTGCAGATTAAGAGTTGAAATCTGCCCTTACTGAATTATTCCCAAACTTTCCCCCAATCACTATCCCAATTTCAGTTGAGGTCCACTCTAATTTAAAGTTCATGGTCACAAAAGGAGGTGAATTTCTGCCTGAGGTCCCACTCCTAAATTTACCAAACTCCTTAGAGGCTTCAGCCCTTGATTTAGGAATCCCTTCTGGGGCTGTCCAGAGCAACAGCCTATGGAATTTAGATCTCAGAAATTTAGAAATCAGCTTAACTGATAGTATTTTGTATAAATGAATAATATCTAATCCACCAGTATTAATGCTGCTGCTCCAGACACAGGCACAGAGATGTGGATAAATGAGATTTACCAAGTTTTAGATGTGGACTGGCTCTGAGAGTCCCTCCTGCTCACTATTTTCTCAGGATATTTCTGAAGGAGATATAAAAAAAATAACTCTCTTATCAGTTTCCCCAGTCTGAATCCTGATCCTTGATGCAGTACAGGTAAAAACTCTTTATTTTTTGCAGGGTAAAAGAGGTCTAGTGGCTGGAAATTTAACTTGGCTTATGTGCAACTTCTGGGAGGGGGGACAACTTATAAACCACTGCCTCCAAAAGGGCCAAGTGCATGGATCTAAAGGAATAAACCTCACAGAAAACAATAAAAGGTAAGAAATTCTTGATTGTCCTTTAGTTGCAATTCTATGTCTAACAAAAATAATATACATCCACTTAAGCCTCATGTCCAAGTCAAGGGCTGATTTTAGCAATAGTGCAGCTATTGAGGGAAGGCATTTTCCCAAAAATATCCATTGCATAACCTCAGGACGTGGTTGGAGTGGCCTAGAGCTGCTCTGAAATCCTGTCACAGGCCAGTGTCCCCCTTCCAGCACATGAAACAATTTCATTATGTATTTCTCTATGGTACTTAAGAAGATAAAATTAAGATTTTAATGGCTGCTTGGATTCTAGGCTATCTATGAGTAAATACTGCTTGCTTTTTGCAGAAATTAATCTTTGTATTTTATAGGCATCCAGTATACACCAGGCTCAAAGTATCTAAAAAGACCAAGTAATCAGGACAATTATTTATATTGGAAATATAGAGATAGAAAGGGATAAAAATATTCATCTTCCTTCTGCTTCAACATACAAGGCTTTCCTGAAAAACTTAAAGTAAAGCCAGAAGAAATCACTCTAAGCTCTGAGATATTGGTTAAATTGGTAGATATTTTCAGGTAGACAGTTTTCAAAGCTGGTTTCATTCAGACTCTGCCTTCTTGAACTTTTGTGCAATTCTATCAGCATTGGGGGGAATATCTTCCCTGTGTAATATCATAAAATAACTGCCCCAGGCTGTGTTTAACACCAGTGCTGCTATTTTTAGAAAAGAATAAAAGGACTTTTTTTTTTTCAGGTGGTCACTTCACATGGCACAGAGCTCCGTGGGATCTGCTGGGCTGGCAATGAACACACTTGCATGGCCAATGAACACAAGCTTGTTATTGGATCATGCAGAGGCAGCAAGGCAATAAAAAAACCACAAATGTTACCCAAAAAAAAAAAAAAAATCAGCACTTACATGATGATGGTTTTCTTGGGCACTTTAGTCTCTTGTTCAGTGACTACAAAGAGAACAGTATGAACAGCATGGGGTTAAAGAAAGGCAAAAGCTGAAATGATTAAATTATCTTTGCTCAGTTCATCAACATAAACTGGAGTGAAAAATAACCAACTGTACCATCCCATCCATGCTTTCTGTGGTTATTTCCAGCATCATCTTTAGTGTTTCTGACCAGGAATGAGAATCCAGAATGCTCTCTGAACATTTAGCTTTGGAATTAAATATTTTGTGGAGAACAATTTGGCAAAAACTGTTTATTCTACCATTTTTGTTTGGTAAGTCAAAGCTAGAAAACAAGGTCCTTATTTAGTTTTTCTTTATCCTATGATAAGGTAGTGATGGTGTCAGAAACCTGAATCAATCTGGAAAATCCTGGAGAGCTGAAATTCTTTAAACTGTGATTTCACTTCCTATAAAAAAAAGAGATCCCCCAAACACTGGATTGTGGCCAAGCTTTTGTGGACTGGATAAAAATCCAAGCTGATAAATGTGAAACTAATATTATTATCATCAGTAGAGAAAATCAGCATCAAAAAAAACCCAAAACCCAAAAAAACCCAAATCCCAGGAAACCCAGGAGAGCCCTATGTCTGCTCCATCTCTTTTTTTTTTTTTTCTCTAATTTGCAATTTTTCCTGACCCTTCTCCCATAAACAACTGGAAGCTGTTGATGCATATCAAGATCAAAAGTTATGATTTCATGGTGTTGCAAGTATTTCTTACAACTGGCATTTTTAAAAAAGGCAGAAGGATACCATTTGAAGAACTGAGATTTTCCATCCTATCCACTGGAGTAAAATTAAGGCACTCTTTGAACCACACTGCTTTGGGACACTCTGAACTCCTGAATCTACTTGAGATCTAGAAAAAAAATCCCATCAGCAAGCCCCACTTTTTATTTAATAAACTCCTAAAATATCTTTAAAAACCCCATAATTTAATCTCCAGCAATTGGTTTTCAATTTTCCAGCCAGGCTATAATAAATAAGCTCTGGTAATTTTCAGTCAGTGCAATTGAAGGGAACTGCTACTTAAAAATATCTATAAAATCACCAGCAGTTCTTGCCTGGGGAATTTGGAAGTGTCTGTATTATTTTTTAAATAACTGATGATTAGTGCTGATGTTTTCAATGGTGCCCCCAAACCTGCACTGACTGAAAATTAAAAATACATTTACAATATTAAATGGAATACTTTAACCTAATTTTCCTTCCACTTCACTTCCAAGGGCTCTTCCCTGCCTCAGGTAAAAAACACAAATTTGACCATAATGAAAAATAATTTTGTGCAAATATTGATGCTAATATCTGACCTAGAGCTCATGTTTCTTTTGCAGAGCCTTGTCTTGTTTATGCCTGTGAAAATCTGGAATTGTTTCCCAGAGGTTCAAAGGAGTTACTGCAGAACTGGGTGAGTTTAAACAAAATCTATTTGGAAATTTGAGTTTACACTAACTGGGTAAGTAAAGAGCAAAATTATTTTCAAATATTTATCCCTCGACACAATTACAATAAAATCATTTACCTATCCTTAATTTATTTTTTTTAATAACTCAAACCTTGTTTTAAATGGTGGAATTATAATAATACAGTGGTGGTAGATGAACTGAGTGCTCAAACAATTTACTACACTCAGGTTAGAGATTGTCACTGACTTTTTGAATCACTATTCTGAAATTTTCAAATAACTTTTAGAACATCTCATTACATAATATTATGAGATTCGTCCATATGCAGAGAGTATATGAGTAAAAATACTGATGTTCTGATGGAAATGTTTTAATTAATTGGATTATACACATGAAAATAGGTGTTTTCTACAATTATTTTAGCAGCAGGTATATTTAGATGAAAATTAAGTAATATAAACTAAATAGCTGAATAAATGTAGTGAAATCTCACAATATTTGTAAGAAAAAAGTCCCTTTAATGGTTGCTCTATTAATGTCTGTTCTTGCAGTCCTCCCAAATGACACCAGCTGGGATATTTCTATTTGTGGTGGATGTCAAAGAGATTCAATATTCAAAAGTTCAGCAGGCCTGGGATGAGAAAGCTGAAAATTGCTTTATTTTAAATATTTAGCTTTATTTTTAAATTATAATAGCTTTATTTTAAAATGTAATAAATTTTATATGTGCTGTCCGAGGTGTGAGGGAGGATTTGAATGGAAGGATAGAACCACATGAAAGTAGGATGAGAGAATTTGGGTTTCTTTTCTTTCTTTTTTTGGTTTGTTTGTTTGTTTTGTTTTTGGTTTTTTTTCCTGTTGTTTTTCCCCGAGAGGAAAATATTCTGCATCCACTTTTAGCACCAGATTTATCATTTCAACTTTTCAAGAGCATTTTAGGCAAACAGCTTTGCAAAGCAGGAGCCCCTGATAAGCAGGTTAAAAGCTGTAAGCATTAGGGACAGCCAGTGCTTTTCTGGGACCAGACATCTCTTTGGTTAATAGATTAAAACATTGGCTTACAAGTGATGGAACACTGAGGATAAGTGAGTTCTCCTTACTCTGGGTGGGTGGAAGGTTATCTATGACCTTTATTCCAATTTTTAAGTCTCTTTTCTCCACTCACAGAAGCTTAAACCTATTTTTGCTGCCCACTTCACGCTGCTGATGTGAGCCAGAGGAGCACTGTTCTGTTTTCACCTCCTCCTGCTACACTTTGCAGACTAATCTGCAAAACCTGGCAAGAGCTGCTAAAACTAATCCTAAAATGAGCAATTCATGCCATCATTGAGGTTGGAAAAGACCCTTAAGGTCGTGGAATCCAACTGCTAAGCCAGCACTGCCACTAAACCCTGTCCCTAAGTGCCACGTCCACAGGCCTTTGAAATCCCTCCAGGGCTGGTGGCTCAACTCATGGATATAAGAGTTTTTTAATTATATGAATGAAATGCAAGTGTTTTGGGATGTCTCTCAAAAATACCCCACCAAAACCTAAATAAACAAACAAAAAAAAACCCCAAACCCAAACAACCAAAAGGCTCCACTCCTGCAGTGACTGACATGGCTGCAAAGGCAGATGGGGCTCTCCTGAATTTGCACTGAAAACCCTGTGGCCTGGCCAAAAATGAGATTAAACCATGGTGATAAGAGAATAAAAATAATGAGGTAAACACCCTAATCATCACCCTAATCAGGGAACATCCAAATGGTCAGAGGACAAACTCCTGTCCCCCATTTCTTCAGTAACACTAACAGATTTAATGCTCCTCTGTGTTTTAAATCTTTCTTGTAAGAACTTCAAAGTATTTTGCTGATTTTTAAGTGGCTGCTCCGAGGCAACTGAAGAACCTGCCCAAGGCTCTGCATGAAATCCAAGGCAAAGCTGTGAAGGAATTATTGTTGCCTGGCTGTAGCTGCTTTGGGAATTTTTATTTATGGCTTTACCTTCACTCCTGTACCTGACTCCCCTCACTTATCTTGACTGTCTCATTCTAAGTCCTGACCTGCCCACCCATATGGAAATGCAACACCTTCCCAAGGCACTGGGCTTTGCTTTTCTTAACAAATAATCAAGTTAGTGAGCCTGGATGGATAAATCACACCAGAACATGCCAGAGCACATCAGACCAGGTGTGCCATGTGCAGGTTAGGCAGCAATGTGCAAAGCAGACACAGTCAACTGGAAGTCAAAGAGAAGGATCTTCTTTCAGCTACACTTTTTTTAAAAAGTGTCTCAGATTATTCCAATATCCACAGAAAGAGGATTTTTTTTAAAGCAACCCTCCATTGACTTCAGTGCAGCGACCAGGTGTGGCTGAAGGCAGATCTCAGCTCACAGAGAATCCCTTAGTCCAGTGGTTTCCATCCTTTTTGGATTTGGTCGCTCCAAGGGACTTGCAAACTCCCATAGAGTGAATTTAAACCAAAGAATTTTGGTTTTGATACCCACGGTCTTGGACTGTGGAGCAGCTGCAGGTCAGGGCTCATAAACCACTGGACTAATGGTATCCCAAACCATGGGTTTGGTTCAGCAGAATAAACAGTACAGAAAGGCAGGAGGATAAAAACTAAAATATTTGCCCCTTGGGTGCCTCATGAGACTCAGACAAAGGACATTTCACAGGAACAGAGATAAATCAGGTAAAACTCAGACCCAGGGTGCAGGTGAGCCAGGAAGCAGACACGGTATCTATTTCCTGCTGTGAGAGCAGTAATGTTGTCCTCTTGGTGAAGTTACAAGTAATCCCATTTCCACAAAATGGAAGGATTGTGAGGATGGAAAGAGATAGCCTTCATGAGATCCACCTGTCCTCCAGTTCTTTGCCAGATGAACCTGATTTTTCCCCAGGCAGATCAAGGCTGGTTATTGATTCTCAAGAAAGCAATGAATTCTCTCCTCAGTCAAGTGCATTATGCCAAATTCATCCCTGGTGCAATTCTGCTCACAACAATCCTCTTGCTCCATGGATGAGCCTATTTTCTCCACTGGCCTGAAGCAGCTCTCCCTGTTTCTCCCTGGAGATGACTCAAGGATCTATTTTCTTCCCTATTACCGAGTTCAAGCAATTGTACATCACACAACAAACCTATTTTATGACATTTCTGAAGCTTCCAGGTAAACTCCAATTGTATTTCTGTAACCAAGCTCACTTATTTTTTTTTTTTTTATGATTACAGGAATAAGAGCAGATGAGAAATTTGGGGCTGAACATACACATATGCAACCTCCAGAGCTGAAAATACTCCTAACATTTTATACAACCTTTATTTGTTTTTATAACATCTGCCTGAAGGGAACTTCATCAAGATACACCACCCTGACAGGAATTTATTTGCATTCCTCTACATCCTGCACACAACTTATTTTTCTCCCTTTGGGGCATAGAAAAGACAAAGAATTCAAGTACTTGAAGGTTTATTTGGCTGAAAAAATTATAGTGTTTCTACACTTCCACCATCCTCCCTGTAATGCTTTTTGATGGGATTGTGGGAAAGAACTAAAAGGAAAACATGTTTAAAATGAAGTCAAGAAAGTTCATAGATCAGGATGCTAATCTTAATAATTTATTGTGGATGAATCCTCTTAATGCAATAGCTCAACTTTTGTGTCTAGAGAGGGCAGGCCCAAAGGTCCAGCCAGACCAGAGTCCTGTCTCAACCAGGGCTAACAGCTGAGGACTGTAGAAAATGATGAAAAAATAGGAGTAGAGGATCGTTTATCCCTGAATATTTTTCCAGATTCCAGCATTTTCTACCCAGCAGCTCCACAAGTCAGAACGTTGCCTCTTAGTGGACATTGATAATGTCAATTATGCCCTTTCCAACATGCACTTGAACTCCTGTTATTATCACAAGACAGTGTGGAAGGACCAGAGTTGAGGAAAGAAGGTCCTAGAGATGTTGGCAAAACTCTGGCTTTTATTGACCATGTCTCCACCAACCCCATCTGGGGGAGGCCTCTGAAACCAAGTTTTGCTGGCATGGAAAAGCCTGTGCCTATCCCAGTCCTCTCTCTTGCCCTCCAAATCTGTCCCTTGCCCCTTAAAGGTGGTCCCTTGGCTCTATCATGTCCTGAGCTGCCACTGGGAACCGTTCAAGAGAGAGACAAGACTGGCTGGTTCACACTCAGCCACACAAGAACACTCCTAAGGTGTACAAAGAACCAATTCCCTGTGCCAGGAAAGGCTCCCTAGGGAGATGTAGCCATGGATTTAAAGTGGGCTGTGATGGGTTTACAGCAAGCACTGACACACTCCGTGGGGAAATCCCTGGGATAAGCAGGGAACTTTAGGCACTAATGACTAAAAGTTGTGAAGAAAGATGCGTTTTTGGATGGGTGTAAAATCAGTTCTTATCACCCTACAAGTGAAACTGGCAGAAAAAAAAGGAATGTGAATATGAATGTCCCTGGACAGTCCTAAATAATGGATGAACCAATCATTGCTCAGGACAGTTCTGCTTTCCCAGTCATTCCTGATGCCCTGCAGTGGTATTTCAGAAACAATCACAATATGCCTCCACCTTTACTTAGTAGCCCCTGTAACATTTCTGCCAGGTTGAACACACATTTTCAACTATTCCAACCACGTATAACATTTGGTTTTGCACTAGCAGTGCTGTGACAAACCCTTCATTTTCTCCTCCATTTTTCATATAATGCATCCATGAACATTATATGAAGTTGATTTGCCAGGCTTGGAAATCAACAGATGATGATGGGCACGGAGCCCATGCACATCTCCAGAAGACATACAGATACATGGACACTGACAACCAACATGGGTAAGATGGCAGAAGATCCTGGATCCTCTTTTTTTTATTTTTTTTTTAGGGCAGTACGTACGGAGCTGGGCAAGGGTCGTACCTTCAATGGTGATGGCTTGGTCTCCTCTCCTCTCCTGGGTCAGGGCTGCAGCGCTGTGGTGGTAAAGCTCTGCTCCACTTTTGGCAGACCCTAACCTGTTCATCAGCTGGAGAGAATGGTGCAGTGCCAAATGAAACACAGGATGTTGGTTTTTTGGTTGGTTTTCTTTTTTTGGTCATGGTAAAACCCTGCCTGTGCTACCCTTGAAAATTCAGTGCAGATAGAAATGGGTGAGGGTGTGACCCCAGGGCCAAGCTGGAGTTTGAAGGGACACTTTGCTGCTCAATAGAGTTTGTGGTCTTTTACCATAAATTACTCAGGCAAGTTGCAGCACATCAGCAAAATTATTTAATTAATTATTTACTAATAATTTATTAAATTATTATTTACTTAATTATTGGGTGTTTGCTCTGCAGCCTGGTACTTGGTCCTGGGGTAACTCTGTCTCTACCAACAGGCCCAGATTCCTGCTGTACACACACTTAGGTGGCCATTAAAGAGGATTTTTTTTGTTCATCATCCAGTAATTACTGAGTTTTACTCAGCCAAGGGAATACTGCACCTCAGGATCTTAGTCATTGGCAAATGCAAGGTAGTCTGGTTTTGCTAAAATTCCAGTAAAATTCTTTAAAGTATATCAAACTTCCTGAATATTTCTGTGAGCTGAACCGTTTATCATGGAGCAGCTGACCCACAATAATTTCCTAAACCAAGACCAATTTCTTTTATTGCCAAGCCCTCAGAACTTATTGTTGTTTTATTACAATGAATGCTATAGACTATGACTAATTTTCATAAAATATCTTACATTTTAAAATATTTGTCAGCTACTTCCAAGTATTCTTACTAAAGAAAATAGAAATTTCAGAGCTTTATCCTTCTATTTAGGCTAATTTCTTTCTTTTGGCTCTGGAGGGTTTCTTAGTCATAATTTAAAGACAGTCCAGAAAAAAAATATCACATCAGAATGATCCCAATTTTTTTAAGAGTTTCCTCTAGAGATCTGGATCTGAGTTTAAGCTCCAGAACAAGCTCTATGAATTCTTTCTTACTTGTACCAACAAACTGTCAGATCAGAATATTCTGAAGCTTTTGGACATTCACAATCCAAATCTAGTTCAGCCTGACTTTCTATAATATTTTTATGAGCAATTACTCAGCCGTGGGTCTCTCCCAGTAAAATGAACTTTTCTGCCTGTATCATTTCAGATGACAGATATTTAAATCTCTCTGAACTTACCTCACATTCATAGTGCCCCATGTCTTCATTGGAAGGGTTCTTGACCACCAGGACTACGATGCCACTCCGTGGTTCACTGAAAGTCTGGTATTTACTAGTGTCCTTCAGCAGAACCCCATCTTTGTACCATCTGAGTGGGAAAACATGGAGTATGAGCCAGGAAAAATGATGCAGCATCGAGAGGTCCCCAGGATCACTGATCCATCCATCAAACAGCTCAGGAGTTAATCCTTAGATTTGGATCCTGGAAGGGAGTGCTTCAGGTGGGTAGATCACACCTGGGTATTAAACTGCACATGTTCATGAGATTCTTCCCAAGGGATCTCCTCAGTCAGTGCAGGGAAAGGGCTTTAAATAACAACAAGGCAAGATTTGCTGAGCTCTTTGTCTGAATACCTGATAAAATCAAGCAGGTGTAAGGCAGGGAGGATATACAATGATAAAATATTTCCCAGGGCTTTACATCAGACAGAGTCCTCCTCAGGGTCTATCTAGGTATTTCTTTTAAAATTCTAGCTAGAATTAATAGCTAAGAATCTCAGAAATTTCTGGATCATGAAGAGTCAGCATTGGGATGAGGTTAAGATGGAAGATGCAGTAAAGAAAGGGTTGTAAACTCAAAATGACTTTTCTGACTATGCAAAATGGGAAACCAGGATTTTCTCCCATGGGAGTTGTAGGAACTGACCTGATCTGAGGCCTGGGTGCCCCTTCCACAGTGCAGGTGAACTGGACATCTTCACCCTCGACAAGATAAGCATTCCTGACCTTGTTCACAAACCGTGGGGGCACTGCAAAAAGCCAAGGTAAATGTGACTGGTAGCTGGAAATTTAACAGATAGGAAGGGCATGTCCCCACTCAGATAATTCTCACTGAGTCTAAAGGATACTAAAGACCAAAATTTTTGACCTATAAACAGTTGCCTGCACCTGTACATCAAGTTTTTATTATTTTTTAAAATATTATCCAGTATATGTTGAATAAAATTTCTGGAATGTCTTAATATTTGTAACATCCTAGAAACATAGAATCGTTTAGGTTGAAAAAAACCTCTGAGGTCATGGAGTCCAACCATTAATACTGCTAAGGCCAACAGTAAGCCACGTCCCCAAGTGCCACATCTAAACGGTTTTTGACCTCTTCCAGGGGTAGTGACTTCACCAGTGCCTTAAGAAGTTTGTTCTGGTGGCTGACAACACTTTCAGTGAAGAAATCTTCCCTAATCTCCAATTTAAACCTCCCCTGGTGCTAATTGAGGCCATTTCCTCTCCTCCTGTCCCTGTTCCCTGGAGCAGATCCCAAATCCCCCCTGGCTGTCCCCTCCTGTCAGGGAATTGTGCAGAGCCACAGGGTCCCCCCTGAGCCTCCTTTTCTCCAGGCTGAGCTCATTTCTCAGCCCCTTCCCCAGCTCCATTCCCTTCCCTGGACATGCTCCAGCCCCTTCTTGTCAAAACTGACCCCAAGACTGGAGGTGCCTCAGCAGGGCCAGCACAGGGAGACAGCCACTGTCCTGGTCCTGCTGGTCCCATCAGGGATGGTACAAATTTCAGGTATTATATACCCTTAAAATACTGCATCTGTGCAGGGCTTTACCTTGAACAAGGATCTTTCCCAAGGTGCTGGCATTTCCAGCAGGACTGGAAGCAAAGCACATGTACTGTCCTGTGTCAGCCCCTGTCAGGTTGTCCAAGATCAGTGTGCAGGAACCATCAGGATCTTCTATTATAATGTGGTGGGGATCCACCTCCACGAGCTTTCCATCTGAAAGAGAAGTTATTTCTTTTTAAAATAGCTTACTAAGAGTTTCCTACTTTGGAATTTCATCCAGCTTTTCATCCTGAGAGGGCTGAGCTGTATTATTGCAGCTGATGTTAGAAGTTGAGGAATCAGCTCTTCATCTTCATCCAGCTCTCTGTAAAACACCATCCAGGGCAAAGTACTCTTGAAGGACCTCATACACCACCACTCCTCATTTAAAAGTGAAATTATCCCAGACTACATTCTGTGCAGTCATAATCCTGCTTTTCCAGCCAAAGGAGCACACCCAAAACGCCCAAAACCACAGTCTCTAGACTTGAGTACCTCTAGAGGATCAGCTCTTGGGTTACTCACTGGCCAATTATCACAGCAATGTGGTCAGGGGGAACACATTTGGAGGGTGCATTTCCTGCCCTGCTGCTCGTACCTTTGTACCAGCTGATGGATGGCTTGGGAGCTCCTGTCACCTTGCAGGCCAGCTTGACTGTCTCTCCCAGCTCGGCTGTGCAGTCTGCCAGCTCTTCCTCAAAGTCTGGAGGGACTGAAACATCAGAGGAAGCGTGTTAGTCTGTCCGTGGCATGGCTGCTGCTAAGTGAGAATGGAATAATTTTTGCAAATCTGTGAGGTTCAGAATTGAAAACTGAGCAGGAAATTTTAGAAGCTCAAGATTTTATAGGTGACATGCTCTCCTTGCTTGTCTGAGACTAAATTCAGTCTGTAACATGTATGTTGTTGGCTATAAAGTTAGAACATACTTTTGAAAGGAATTTGTTGCTGATCTGGAATTATTTTAGACCATGATTTTAATAATCACATCCGTTATTCAGACACCACGCATCTGTCACTGTTAAGATAATTTCTCAAATAAAATGCAGCCTGGATATCCAAACTAGCATTCTGCTGGTGTCCTTACAACAACATCTGTGCTTTCATTGAATCCTAGAATCATGGAGTGGTTTGGGTTGGAAGAGACCTTAAAGATCATTGCATTCCAACCCCTGCTGTGGGCTGGGACACCTCCCACTATCCCAGGTGCTCCAAGCCCATCCAGCCTGGCCTTGGACGCTTCCAGGGATGGGGCAGCCACAACTTTGGGCAACCTGTTCCTTTATTAAGTGAGTTTTATTTTAACCCATTGCTACCATATGAAACCATACAAAATTATTCTGATATCTCACTAAAACACCTCACTAAAGGTACAAAAATGAAGTGCCCAGCCTTGTTTTCTATGTATATGGAATAAACCCAATGCTCTTCTGGCATTTTAAGATGCCAAATATCCTTACACTATAGTGGACACCACTTGTAGCTTACGCCTGGAAAATAAAGATCGAATATCCCTGCTGACAGATTTTGTGGATTGAAAATTGGTGGAATCTCAAACGACACTGAGAATGAGGAAGACAAAATTCCAAAGCAAACCCAGGTGCAAAGATAGAGCAGTGTAAGCCAGGAGTCAAGTAAAGAGTCCAGAACCCAACGAAGTCACAGGGTTGTTTGTACTGGGCTGTGTAGGACTCCGGATCAGAGTACAACCCCAAATCTCCCTGCCTTTCCTCCAGGAGAGGTGTTTCACATTATCTTCATGGCCTCTTCTGGACTCACTGCAGCAGCTCCACGTCCATTTGGTATTGCAGACCCCACAGCTGGACAGAGCACTGCAGGTGAGATCCCACAAGAGCAGAGCAGAGGGGCAGAATCCCCTCCCTGGACCCGCTCCCACATTTAACGACCATAAACATCTTCTCTCCCTCTTTATCATTTCCTGAACCGAGAAGACCATCCAAGAAAAACCCCCAAAAAAGTGAGGTTTGGGCTGTCTTGTGCCACACTTACTCCAGATGGGCTCGCTGATGCGCTGCTGGAGGCCCAGGATCTCCTTCACCCAGGAGTTCTTGATGTTCACGGTTCGCGCCTGCAGCAGGTATTTGCGCACCAGGTCCTCCCGCTCGTGCCAGATCTCAAAGGCCCGGTCATCCCCTTCCACCAGGTCGTTCACATCTATGTTGTTCAGCTGAGTGACAAAAAAGGGCACAAAAGTCACCACAAACCCCGTGTTCTTAGGAATTCCCAACAGCAAAAAGGGGAAATTTGGCGCTTTCCACAAAGATTTTTCAGGTCGCGTGAGCAACGCAACGTGGCTTTGGCTGAAGAGCAGTCAGAGCTACTTTGAGAGTTATTTTCCCTGCTATATTTGACTTTCTCGTTACCAAACCAGACATTTTCCTGGGATTAATTTTTCAGGGAAATGATATCCAAAATTAGAAGTTATCCCAATTGTGGAACACACGATTCCTGAAGGGTTGGGCCCAGGCAACAGGGAAAAATGTAGAGAATGGGCAGTCTCTGGACAAAGCATGGAAATGTTTCCATTTTTTTTTTTTGTTTGGGAAATAAAATCTGCCTATGAATACTAATGAGGACAGAGATAAAGACTTTCAGAAAGTCCTGGCATGGTTTGGTCAAGAGCTCCATGGGTTTTTAGTTTTTGGCTGGGTTTTTTTGGAGTTGAGAATCTCCTGCCTTGTGTAAACTCTTTCCTCAATTTCTGGCAGTTTTAACCATGAATGTCTGAAGATGGGTGGGTCATATCCTCTGAATTTTTCCATTTCTGAACAGGAATTGGTGTCTGAGAACAACATAATTAGCAGAGAGAACCCGATGGAATTTAGCAAATAAGATTCCTTCTAATTTACTCCCAATATTACAAGCTGCCAAAACCAGAGATTTAAAAATGCAAGAAAATATTGTAGGCAGTAAAATCCACATCAATATATTTATGCTGTCGATTAAATGAGGTAAGAGAGATAAATAAATGCTTGTACTTGTAATCTCCTTGCTGCATGGCAAAAGTCCACCCTGATGTTTCTGAGAGGTTTAAAAAAAAGATATTTTGGGATAAATGTAGATTCTACTTGTGCTTCAAAGACTTTTTGAAGCAAAGGAATAGCTCAGAAGGATTAGAAGAATCTCCAAGCTGGATATAAAAGTGAAGCTCTAATTGACAGAGAAATGCTTTATGTGAGGATGAAGTGATCAGACCTTCATGATGTTCTTGAAGATGTAGCTGTAGGTGTCTGTCTTTGTGTCTCGCTTTGGTTTGCAGATCACAATATAATTTTTGAAGAGGAAAACATGTCTTTTGTGTCCTTTCCATGCCATTCGAGCTCCTGGAGCTCCTTCCCACACAATGAAGTGGCCCTGATAGGAAAAAGAAGGAAGAGCACATAGTGATACATCTGGAATAATTACCACACTAAGGTCTCACCATCATTTTTTGGTGCCCAGATAACAAATATTTCCTGTTGCATCGTCCCCTGATGTATCTCTGGTTTATTAAAGCACAGCAGATGGTTTCTAAAGCTAAAGGTGACTCATCAGACATAGACAGAGCCAGTGGTTGTCATTACATCTTCATTTAATTGGTATTATTTGGTGCCAGAAAAGCAGAGAGCCTTTGTCAGGCAGAAACACTCTTGGAAATATTAAAGGAAAATTGAATTTTATGTATTATACAGACACTTTATATGATGATTTGGTCACCTTCACCAGAGCAGGAAGTATTTATTTCACATAGCTTCAGACACAGCTCAGTTAGTGACATGGGTTTCCCCTGGCATCTCTAGGGAGAAGGAAACACTCAAAGGGTGTGACTGGACACTGTTTGGATGCCTGAATGTGGAGACGTGAATGCCCACCACAGTATCACTGTAATTTAGCCTTACAACTCCACTCAGCAGTACACCCTGATTCCCATGGAAAACTTTGGATACAAACACAATAAATGACTTGCCTGGGATAACACAGCAAATATGTAAAAACCAGGAATTTGAGTGAGGGTGTTGAAAATCCTAGACTGAAATGTCCTAATAACTGAGTCATCTACAAAGCCACACACCTGGGTCATGGGATAAACCTGGGGGAGCACATGGGTCTGTTGATGCCAGTAACTCCAGGAGCTGCCCTGTGTTGCTTCCCAATAATATGAGAGGATGAGTTAAAACCCTTTTAGATCATGTAGGGGCCCAGAACAATTTTATTCCTGCTTGATGAGCAGGTCACAAAGGCAAATGACTGCATCATGTGTGAATTATTCCATAAGAATCCATGCTGTGGTGTTTCATACCTTACTGGAGGCAGAACACCCATTTCTGGACAGCAATAAGTGAAATAAGCAAATCAGATATAATTTCTAGAGGATTTTCTTCTGAGAATTAAGGATCCTCAGAAACTGGTGAAGGCACACATGGAGCCAACAGTGACTGGAAATTCCAGTTACCTGTCGGATGGGTTCCCCCAGACTTTCCAAGGTCCCTGGGTAATTCTCAATGAGTGAGACATGGAGGTTGTTCTCTGCTCTTCGGGTCAGGGCAGACACAATGGCATAGGCTTGCTCCAGCAGAGTGCAGTTCTGGCTGTTTCTGGCTTTGTTTCTGATCAATTCCTGTAGGTGAATGAAGAAAATATTAGTGGACAATCAGAGAGAAAAAAAGCAGTTCCTTCAGAGACAAAGAGTTTCTCATATCTTCTCTGGCTCTTTCATCTCAGCAACTTTTATCCCATTTTTTTCACTACAAACTGCTTAAATAAAAGTATTTTCTTTCCTACCTATTCTGCAATCTTAAAGACTAACCAGTCTGGCTTTTCTTTACATCAGTTGGTATTAAGCAAAGATAAAGTTGAAACAAACATCAGAATGCTTTGGTGGTTGAAAACTAAAAATTCCAAAGGAAGCCTAAATGTATCCATTGCATTTCTCTTCTGCTTACCCTCAAGTACCAGAGGACAAGGAATTCATGTGGCCATGCTGAGTCAACATTAGATTAATAAAAAGAGAAGTTGGAAAAAATGTGAAATGTCATTTTCCCAGTTCTTCCCACATTTGTTCCTGTTCCTCTCTTTCAGCAATGAAGGCACAGAAAATGCCTTTGCTCCTCCAAGAGACCCTTGGAAATGTTGGTTTTTGCGTGCAAGAATGTGTTCAATAGTAGAAAGTTCTTCAAAATATTCAAACTGCTCATTTATGCAGCACTAGAATACATAAATATTTTCCTATGATTATCCTAGTACTATTTCCCATGAAAATACTGTTTAAAATGCTGTTCTGATGTGTTTGCTTATGGTCTAAAACAGTAGGACAGATGCAAGCCTCAAAGACAAAATATTTCAGGGTGGCAGAATGGGGCAAAGCTTTTCAGAAAACAAGAATTTCATCTTACTGTAATATCAGTATAAAACATAAGGAAAAGAAGTTGTAAGTCATCTTATCTTAGACATGGAAACTACTTATTTTTAGAACATAAATGTTTCTGAGTTTGAAGCAAATTCATACCTGTCATCCATGTAGTTATATACTATACTATACATATATTTATGTATATATTTAAAGGTAAAGCTCACTGAACTTTATGGGGATGGATTCTGTGACACTCTACCTGAATTTACATTTACAAAACTTTTTAGAGAACGCCACTGGTGATGATTAATCTCTTATTTACTCAAGCAGTTTTCAATTGTAGTTGCATCAGAAGGAAGCCAAGAAATAGGAAATAAAAATAAAATATTTTCCTGAAAAAGCTACACAGAGCAGAACATAAACTTGTAACAACATCTTTTTACCTTAATTATTGTCTGGTACTGCTGGATCCTGTTAATGGGTTTTTCCAGGTAGTGCTGCAGTGGTGGGATAAGTGGCTGTGAGGGATCTTCATTAGTTACAAATTCATCTGTGTATCTCTGAAAAAATACATGGAATAACAAGGAAAGATTATTATTAAGAGCAGCAGAAAAAAATCCTGAGTAGCTGGAGCAGAGAAACAAGATTTGCTTATCTATCATTTATGTGATTCTCTTGGTCTTATAATGTGGTGACTTTTAAAATGTCCTTTAATTACAATTACATAAGCACAGGCACATTCATGTCTGTATAATCTTCATAATATTAATAAATGCGTAGGCATAGGTAAATATGTTCTCATACTGGTCATACTTGCCAGAAAAAGCTAGAAAGTGAACTAAAAATTATTATATTTAGCAAAAGATGTTACAAATCCTTTTGAGGTTCACATTTATGACTAAAAATTCCATTTCTTGATGCAGTGGGTTACAGGATGAATTTTCCACAGGTGCTTTGGCTCCTGCCTCACCTTGTAGAAATCCTGGACAGCTTTGCTGACAACAATGGACTCAGCCTGGACCCTTCCCACCAGGTACTGGATGTATTTGTTAAACTCTGCTTCGTGCTTGATGAAGCACATGGCCACATCATCATCAGTGTCACAGCTCTGCAGGCTCCTGAGGAACACACTGTGGGGACAAAGGACATCTGAGGAGAAGGTGCTGGAAGGAGGCTAAAACACAGCCCCAGCAGCCAGACTGGGAATCAGGAGATGTCAGGTTAAGGGAAATGGTGGGGGGAGATCAGGGATGTTGCCACTCTGGCATTAAACTTCTCAGTGCCTCTTCACCCAGCACAGTGCCATTCCTCATAGCTGGAACATCAGAGTAGGGACTTGGGATTAGGGTCTGGAGGATAGGACAAGGGGGAATGGCTTTAAACAGACAGAGTTTAATATCTAGCAGGGTTAGATGCAATATTAAGAAAAAATTCTTCCTTGTGACAGTAGTGAGATCCTGGTACAGGTTTTCCAGAGAAGCTGTGGCTGCCCCTGGATCCCTGGAAGTGTGCAAGGCCAGGCTGGATGAGGGTTGGAGCAACTTGGGATAATGGAAAATGTCCTGAAAGTCATGGATGCTTGTAGGAATCAGCCTGACCAGCATTCCAAGTCAGGCAACCATCACTGACATAGGATTATATCCCAACTCTAAACCTTGGGAGACATTTGTTAAGTTGTAGTGACCCCGGATAAAAGTTACAAAGAATTATGGGATTTGCCTATGTTAACATCTCATACATACTCCTAACCCTCATTTCCCAGTTAATTATCCCTACTCCCAGTTCCCAGAATGTTCTCCCTTCCTTGTATCCCCACTGGCCCTCAGTTGGTGCAATGTTCCACCCAACCTACCCCACTGGACCCTACTTTCCCTTTACTCCACCTCTGCACCACTTTCCCCTATACCCATCAGACCCTATCTCAACTCCACCTCCTCTCTTGCCCCATATTTATACCCTGGACCTCCCTTTATCTTTTTCTTCAACCACTGGCTCCTAAAGAGACCTTGTTCCCTTGTGGTTGTTGTATTTGGATTTTTGGGCCTCGTCCCACATCCACTTTCATTATTATTAAAGTGTTTTATGTTACTAAGTCATGGTCATGGTACCGCTCTTCTTTTATTTTTGCCACTTTTGCCCTGATATCTGAGAACCCTAAAAAATATCATCAGGGACCACTCTCGACCCCGACAGATGCTGGCATCAGTTTTATGTGGGTTAGTATCTATGAAGACACCACTGAAGTGCCTGTAAGATCTTACTGCCTTTTTAACATAATTCCCTGTTTCTCAGTTAAATTCACTTAAAAGAGTAAGAAAAAGGCTGGACAGAGGAGGACTTGAAGCTCTGAAGGGGATTATGGAAGTCATAACCCTGTGCTATGATTTAAGCCATGCCATCATTTACCCTCCTGAAAGGAGCATCAATTCCCTTCCACCTCAGCACTGTCAGTGCTCCACATCAGGAATAATAGTAAGAATAGCAGTAATAGTAATACAAGTAATAATAATAATAGTAATAGTAGTAATAGTAACAACAACAACAATAATAATAATAATAACAGCAATGATAATAATAGTAATAACAATACGTTGGATTCCTGGTCACTGAGAATTTTAGACTTTCTGTGCTGACAGGAACTGACCCCAGGAGAACACTGCATCTGACCTGAGGCCATGGAAAAGGCTTTCAAAATTGAATAATAAAACTAAGATTATAAGTACGCTATTTGAATAAAAGTGAATAATATCACATGGTAAAAGCTTAAAGTTTAAGGTTTTAAAATATAGTAATATATATAAAACAAAATGAAAGTTTTAAGGCAGAAGCTAATCCTTCTTCTTCACTTTCTTCTTCATGGGTTTGAGTAATATTGTGTAATTAAGTGAAAAAATTTGCATTGTGAGCCACGAGTAGTTAGTTATTAAATTAAAAGTAAAAATAATTTAAGTAGCATTTCATAATTGAGCAGTCTACCCTTAAAAAGCCTTGTAAAAAAATAAAACTCCATTTTTTAGTTTGTTAACTTAAAGTACTGTAAAACTCTAATATAAATAAAAACTAACAAACATCTAAATCCAAACAAAAAATACTGTCTTCACTCATTTAATCCCAACTCTATAAAAAAGCCATAAAATAATAACAACAATAACAAAACAATACTAATACTACTACTATTACTACTACTAATAATAATAATAATAATGATGGCACTCTTTGGTCTCCAATGAAGGCACTTGGGAATGCCCACCTGGAATGGAAGCGCCCAATGTCATCAATATTCCTGAAGATGGTGGATTTCTGACTGGCAACAGCTCCTGGCACACTGGGACAGGTCTCAGTGTACCTAAGGTGATGAGTCTGGAGGAACTGTAAGTCTTGAATGTAATCTTCCTCTGAGATCAACAGCTCCTGAATGAGAACACTGAAGGGGAGACAGAGAGGCAGAAAGAAATCACAGAAAAATCATCATGATTGTCTTTGAGAGGCTTTTCGGCTGTAGAGATTCATGATCAGAGGAA